AGGACTTCTATGAGAGAGGCATTTTGAAGTTACCTTTAAAATGGCAACAAATCATACAACAAAACGGTGCATATTTGACCCAAATCGGACAATCCGAAGCATGTTAAATAAAGTCCTGAAGTTCATATAAAAATAATGGATTTCTTTTTCCCCAAACTAATATGTACTTTGTGGCGTCTCCCATGCTTCTTTCTGGCCGTTGGAAACTTTTTCGCATAATGAATATACATCTCATCCTTCGGTGATGGGTGTAAAAAGGCACGAAATAATATTAATGCTTAAGCTTGTTATTACAGTATTAAAAATTGGTTGCAAAAAATGTCTAAAATCTCTTAAGATGCACTACTAATTAATGCGTTAGTTTCTTAAGGCAGTATTTCGGATTAGGTTAAATTTTTAGTATTAAAGATTGGCAGCTGAGCTCAACGTGTGAACAGTCCATGTTGTGTTCTTAAATGATCATAGGCGTGCGCTATCACTTACCACATAATTGTTTAAGATAAAACTGAAATCACCATATATCGGTTAGGGTATTATATAAGATTTACATACGTTGAGTTGCCCTTCCGACACTCCATTTGTCATTTGCTGTTGAAACTGGGGCTCAGTTTCACATGGCAAGTGAAAAAACTAAAACAATTGATGTATTCATGTGAAAGTTATACATCTACAACAATTACTCTAGGGCATGTATAACCTTCTTATCTATTACTGAAATCCATACCTAAATTAGGGGAGCACTTTGGTCTAGCTTTTAATATAACTTATTGCACCAGTAAATTCCAGCTTACAAAATATACATTTTTTTTTTTTAATATAACCAATCACTCACGGAATGTGCTCCAGTCGCGTAACGCGATGACGATCAGAACGAAGTGAGGAGAGAGAAAAGAAGAAACAGGCAGGAAATGGTGGCTGTAGGCCACTAGATACGTAATCGATAAATGTTATGCCTTTACCAGCTCACTTAAACAACCACCAAAGTAAACTCTACTCGCACTGAAATTTGAACCCGCGAACACTGATTTGGTAAACGCGATTCTTATCCACTTTAAAATTTAACCGGTTTAACCAAGCAATGCCTTTGTAAATTCTCGTAAGTTCTAATTGCAATCGTCTCCAACTATCATTATATATAGAGAATATGTTCAAAATGCCGCCCTTCTCCATTGTTCCATCTTAAAAAATCCAACCAATCATTTTGATTACTTAAAAATTCCATTACATGTGATTTTTCCATAATTATTCACTATTGTCCTACAACGCGCGACTGGTGGGTGTACATAATGAATACATATAATTGCATCAATTGTCTACGTTGGACTCATAACTTTAACCAGTTATAGCAAATCCTCATATGTTTTGTCATATATTCACGTATATGCATATAATACTTAGCTGGCGTAATTATCGTCAACATTGCGTGATTGGTTGAATCAGAACCTGGTGATTGGTGCTGTTTTAGTACAAAAAAAAAAAAACAAAAGAAGAAAGAAATTAATAATAATAATAATAATAATAACAGTGACAAAGTAAACTTGTTTTATAGCGAATTTCGGAAGCCCATCACTAAAAGGAAAAGTGAAACAAAAAAAGATTAGTTTTATTTATAATTGTCCTGAAAATTATTCATTAGCTCTCAGACTGACATCTGCACTTGCAAAAGCATTTTGGACACGAAAGAAAATCCAGTAAATTTGAGTAACGGGTTCTCTTAGTAGTTCTAAACAAACTCTAGAGATATAGAAAGAGAAGGAAAACATATATCATTATACGAAGAGATATCGTCCAAGCATAAAACTTTTATTCTTCCCTATGGACTATTGCGGTCATGAGATTCTTAAAAATGCGATAAGACCGAGAAGAGTTGCACTGATTAGGGATTTGCACATTTTGATGACACAAATGATAAGTTTTTAATGTGACAAAGGGAATGACGATATGAATATTCCATCAAATTTGGAATAAAAATGTATATGGATATATATACACGCACATATAAGGACACTTAACTACGCAAAACTGTATAAGTAAAACTATCGAATAGACGGCGATGAATAATAAAAATACAAAAAAAAAAAAAAAGAAGTAAATTTAAAACAGTATAAGCAACATAGGTAGAAATGTTCTTAAAACAATTGCTTCAGTAGCGGTTAGTCTCTGAAAGGATTTCATTTCAGTAACGGTAGAAAAGGGAGAGAGTTGCTAAAATAATGTGTAATAGCAGTTTATTTCAACAAACAGGATTTAATAATCTTATGGAATCATTTTCATCATATCGCAATTTACAATTTCGCCGCATAGAAAACCGTTTGAAGGTCAGCAATTCAGGTAACTTAGAACGTAAGATAATTGATTGCTTTCAATATCTATCTATAACTTTTTAATTGCCTTCATGTAGATTCTACTGATTATTCGAATGATCTCAAAGGTCTCAACCATAAACTTCTAATGCAGGTAGATAACGCTATCAGTCCAGATATGTTGAAGAGAACAACCGTCTCACCTATTTTAGATGTTATCGATAATTCTAGCTTTCCATCGTACGATCATAATGTAGAAAATTCCAATCATAAAAACAATGAAAAACAATCGAATCAATTCAGTGAAAACGAGCTGCTTAACAACAAACCTACAGATGGTATAATTCTATCATCATCGTTACCGCCGCATACACATTTGATAGCACGTCACAAAACGTCATTAACTGCTTTTGAATATTTAAATAGTTCGTCATCACAGAATTTTAACAATCTCGATTTGCCTTTAATGGAATTGAACGATATGGGAGGAATATTTTCGCCATTTTTACAACGGCGGCCGCGTGGCGAAAAACGCTCTATACCCGACGAACAAAAAGATGAAAAATACTATGAACGTCGTAAGAGAAATAATGAAGCCGCGAAGAAATCGAGAGATGCTAGGAAAATACGAGAAGATCGTATTGCCTTGAGAGCGGCATTCTTAGAGCAAGAAAATTCAATATTGCGTACACAAATTTTAGCTTTAAGAGATGAATTGCAAACATTGAGACAAATTATTAGCCTAGAAATAGAACAGAAAATTATTAATGGTCATAAGGATCAGGAAAGTAGATATTGTTTAAATTTTTAGACTGAAACCGTTGAGGTAAATATATATATATATATAAATAATTAATAAATTAGTTAATGAAAACGTTGAAAACCAAAAAGTGATGCTAAAATTATAATTGACCGATAAGGTAAGCCTTCAAGAAAAAGAAAATCAACGCCTCTTGCGGCCAGAGGAAATTGTCAATCGGTACAGACGATCAATAAATTTTTGCTTGCTATCCGATTTATCTGAAGTCAAAATTTCCTAGACAACTGCCCATGCTTGCTCATGGGATGGAAAATTCTTAAAACCTAAAAAAATCTAGGTTTGAAAAGAAGTAGAATTGCATCTCCGCCGGCCGGCCAGTGCGCGATAATATTTTAAAAAGCAACATTTTCTTCATTAAACCAAGTCATTTGGCATAAATTCTCACATCTAATTAATTATATCTTGCATCACTTGTGGTAGAGAACGTATGAAGTTTGCTTGGAGCTATGTAAGAACCAGAAGGACGTAAGATAGATCTGTGTTTGATAATACCGGTCGATTCACGAATGTTTTTGGAATCATTTTTTGGAGCTTGCCTACCTGTCTATCTACCTGTCTAATGTGCGTCCATATTTGTTGTTTTTTCTTATGAACAATTCCCCGTATGTGCGTAACACGATGATGATCGGATGTTGTGAGGAGGAAACAATAGGGAGTTGTCGCAGTCGGCGGGGTTTACTAAAGCGGTAAGCATTATGCTTTTACCGACTAAAAATGCGCTTGAGCTACGACCACACCACCGATCTACCTACCGCATATGAAAATAGACTTTCTTATGCCGCCTTTATACTCTCTCTTTCTAACTACTTGCCTATGCCAAGCTGTCGATTGCTATTTGCGGCATATTTTGGTGAAATTTGGCACCTTGTCGTGTTTGGACTCAAGAATGAAACACTTCTGCGCTCAACAAAAAGTCGCAATATGAAGGAAACTTGCAATTTTCTAAGCTTCCCGACGAACAACGCTAAGTAGTGGAATTTAGGCATACTAAACTAATGTGAAAAATTTGGATTAGATGGAGCAATTTTTTGACTATTAATAGCGTTATGCGATGATAACTAAAAAAAAGTAGAAAAAGTATATTCGCTGGTGATCGAAAATTTTATATCCCCTCTATTATTCTAAAAAGACAAAAAGAGAACGGAAAAGATTTGCATTTTCATACTCTATAATATTGGATGGTCGCGACTGAGTTTTTCTGTTTTCAGAATAAAAGCGGAAATTTATATGGGCGACAAGCCAAAAAAAACACGGAAAACAAAGGTGTCCACATTTTTTTCCCACAGACGGGTAAGCGTTGTAGGCGTGTCCTTTCACTAGTTTGGTCATTTCCAAACTCTTTCGCAAATTCGCAAACGATATCTTCATTTCTGCGGGCGAGATAATATTTACTGAAGCTGATACTTTGTTGGGCAAACATACAGACGGAAAGTTAAACAGACAGACATGCTTAGGCGCATTCCGAATTTGACGCTGGTAAAGAATATATATATACTTTTTCCGGTCCGCTCTTGGGCCTTGTAAGTAGATTGAGAAGAAGTTATATAATGATACACTATAATAGTGGACGGACATGGTCAATTTTTTTCGCTTTTGTACAAGTGCTACATAGCATATACGTTCAAATTTTTGTAGATTTACCTGCTGAAGTTCCATAGTAATGAGTAAAAATTTTTTTATTCCTTTTGAAAAACAGGAATGTTCTCAGCTTAGATGGTAATGTAGACGTGTTCCAAATTCGAAGTCGATACTTTCATTTTTGGAATCTCTTGGTCTGTTTAGAACGGACATTACGCTTGGAATTTAATGCTGATCAAGAATATACCCACTTTGTGGGGCCTCTGAGATTGCGCTCTGGACGTTGTAAACGTTTTGACAAAATGAATATACCCTCATCCTTCTGTTACGGGTATACTAAATTTCAGATTTCTAACTGGAAGTTTTAGAAGAACGCTGTCATCGATGCAATTTGCCATAATGGTCGAAAAGTATATATTCGCGCATTACAAACGAAATAGTACCACATCTGGTACAACGAAGTCAAATTTCATCCTTAACCACTGTTTTATCGTCGGCCTAGCTTTTGCAAAACTAGTAATGGCAATAAGGAAAATTATAGTCGCCTGTGTCTGAGTCTTTATCCAAAAAAAGGCTTGAAAACGGAAGCACTAAATTTCCATGCTCTATAATATTGATTGGGCGTGGCAAATTATTTGTGCAGTTATTTGCAAAATTACCCATAGAATACTGGTAACGTTTATCGGTCTAGTTTATAAGTAACGAGCAAAACTCAGGAATCACAGTTCATATTACACAACCCGGTAACGAGATGCAGTCATACAGACGGACAATATATAAATAAATCCATGCCGAATATGATGCTAACCAAGAATGTACTTAGGTACTTGATTACGAACTGATTTATTGTTTTGCCCATCGCTAGCCCCACATTTTTTACATTTGCTTGACAATTTGTCGACACCACGCCTTTAAAAACCTTTCCCTTCGTTTACTTACAAATTCGTACAAACAAAAGCGTTGCTTAATATGTGCGTGACCCACCGATGCAATCAAGTGGTAATCGGGAGGACTCAAATCTGGCGAGTAACCTACAAAGACAAGAGCTTCCCAATGTCGCGAACCGGTTTTACAACGTAGATGGATGGGCATGTAACAAGTATCCTTGTGTTTTTTTTTTTTGCTCTCAGCAAATACAAACCATCGTCTTCTTGATATAGTGATCCGATAAATGTGTATGGTTCGCTTGGTCCTACTCGTAAATTTTTTCATCTGGAATTATTAAAATAAATTCCCCTTTCATTCCGAGTAACGGTACGCGATAAAAGGACTATCGTTCGTTGAAAAAAAAAAAAATTAAACTATCGCTGAACGCTATTTTTTTGACAGAAAACTAGACATGTTCAACATGTATTAAAAGCTACATTATTTTTTGAAACTGGTATCGTGCTCAGTTGCAAAATATTTAAAGGATGTCAACAAGATAATGACGGTAGTAATACGGTTTTACTACATTCACGTTCCTTGGCACGGATTATTTATCTTTTAGTTAACTAGCCCTTATTTGGACGGCGTACCTTGAAAGAT